TGTTTATACATTAAACTCCGATCTTTCTAATTCTTATAGTTGAAAACTAGAGTGAATTGTTTTGGGTTATTTAGGTCATTCAGTTCTGTTTTCTCCACAACACCAAGAAGGACAGAACATCAAAACATTTTAAGCCTTGTCCGTTTAAAGCATGTATTTTAATCAGTCTTTTACCTTGCTTCCTACTTAATTATGTGTGACCATTTCTGTTTCCACCAGAATTATATTTATAATACTTTGCAGTCATATCATGCTATTTATTCCAAGAATCTCAAATATCTTTACAATGTGGTGAATAAGTATTATTATAACTGTTTTAAAGAGGGGAGAAACAAACCAGATTGGCTAAGTGGCTTGCGCAAGGTGCATCAGTGGGTAAGACAGAGCTAGCAACAGAACCCAGCTTTTCAGACTCCTGGTACCATGTTATCTCACTGCCTCCTGTATTTGTATTCATTAGAAAGGTAAACAAGAAACAAAGGCAGGTATTACGTCTACCCACATGTATAAAATAGCTTAACTTTTTACATTTTAAGTACACATACCTATAAGCTATGCTTGACCATTACTGACTGAAAACAATCGTGAACAAATCAATACATTACTATTGCCAATAACACAGAGGTTTGGAGAAAGTTTACTTGTTAGATAATAGTGTGTGCAAATGACCATTGAGCCTGAGCATTTTTGCATTAAAGGTGAACTAAAATGCTCTTTAGAGACATGTTGAATCTTTGGTTCCTATTCTGTCCTTACGCGCACAATTTTTCCATTTTGTATTCCATTGAAGAGGGATCCTTATAATGAATACATATTTTAAAAAGCAAAAACAAATTGTTCAGAAGCCAAGTGATTGAGGCAGTCAGGCCATAACAATACAATTGTAGTCTTCATTACAAAAGAAATATATTTTAAAAATAAACAGAAAAGATTTTTTTACTTACCTGCTAAGACCCAAATTATCCAATATTTTAAGTGCTAATAGACTTCTTTATGCTGTGCACAACCAGAAAATGCACCAGTTCCAGCCCCAAGCAGTTTATAACACAACTACTCCTAATTTATTTGCCACAACCTAAATTCAGGAGTTTTTGTTTCTCCTGAAATTGTTGATGATCTTTATAATGGCTAAAACAGGGCAGGAATTTAAAGTTTCCTTGTCCAATTTAGGTGTTAGTGATGGCAGCAGCTCTTTCAGCAGAAATACTGAACCTTGAACTCAGGTCCTGGTATGTAAGAAAAAAGTTATTGTCAAATGTTATTTTAAAATAAATGTGTAGTATAAGTCTACCCATGTATTCTGTTAATGATTCAGGATGTTAAACAATGTCTTAAATTATTTTACAAACATTTCAGTAAACCTTGAAGTCTCTGCTCTCTGACTGGCTCAGGGGCCAATAGCTTTTTCTGGGCCTCTAATTTATAGCCTCTTCAGAATGTCACATTTTTTAAAATGAGACACTGAAGAAATTCTTGGCCAGAACAGGGAGATTGCCAGATACGTCTGAGGGGGGTGTTCAGAATGTCTGAAAACAACATATACATTGGCTTCATGTGTCAGTGAACATCAGGAATTGTCTTCCTGCGTCAATAAATCTTGATTGTCATCTTTACATTTATATCTGATTATTGATCATGTCCACGGCAAGAGTTACATGGCCCATTAACTGTAGTACTAGGGTTAGAATTACTGAAAAAGAAATGGTCTCCTAATCTTCTACCCATAGCAATTAGCTTGATAAATAAGGTTAGTTAATATTTATAGCACTTTAGATAAAACATGGCACTATACAAATATGTAAGAGATGTCTGCTCCCAATGACCTTTTAATCTAATGTAGATACAAATCAAACAATTAAGGATCAGTGGGTGAGTGGGAGCAGACAGTCTGACAGCAAAAGCTGTGATGGTTTGTTAAAATCATCCTAAGTGGAGTTCAAGCTGTGACATTGCACTCCATATGTTTTATGGAAATATGCTAATGAGTGTGAATATAATGTAACTGGCATATGTTTCATGCAAAAGGTCTCTTGTGAGGTATCATTACAAAACTTATAATCTACTGAGTGTGTTCATCCTATTTGTACGTATGTATCATCTTGTATCTAAAGCTAGAAATATGAAGTATTTTTCTAAAGTCCTATTTCAGAGGAACAGCCGTGTTAGTCTGTATTCGCAAAAAGAAAAGGAGTACTTGTGGCACCTTAGAGACTAACCAATTTATTTGAGCATGAGCTTTCGTGAGCTACAGCTCACTTTGTAACTATGCAAAGTGTGGGCCATTAATAATGGCTTGGAATCTTGATGGCTCCCATTAACCAGGACAATTGGTTGTAAATGGCTCTGTTTACTCGCAAACCTTCCTGGGTACGCCAACCCTGAAAGAATGGAGAAAGAGGTCTTACAATGACCTGATCATGTCACCTGGTAGTGGAATCCATCTTAAACCTGGTGCTTTTCCATTTAGAAGGGTGGGAGGAAATCCAGAGAAAGACAAAAGATTCCCACCTTGGGCCAAAGCTATAAAAGGGGGTGGAACAGAACAAAGGTGGCAGTCATGAGAAATCCCCTAGCTACCACCTGAGCTGGAACAAGGACTGTACCAGAGGAAAGGATTGGGCCCAGACTTGGGGTATGTCTACACTATGAAATTAGGTCGAGTTTATAGAAGTCAGTTTTGTAGAAAGCGGTTTTATACAGTTGATTGTGTGTGTCCCCACACAAGTGCTCTAAGTGCATGTAGTCAGCAGAGTGTGTCCACAGTACCGAGGCAACGGTCGACTTCTGGAGCATTGCACTGTGGGTGGCTATCCCACAGTTCCCGCAGTCTCCGCTGCCCATTTGAATTCTGGGTAGAAATCCCAGTGCCTGATGGGGCTAAAACATTGTTGCGGGTGGTTCTGGGTACATATTGTCAGGCCCCCGTTCCCTCCCTCCCTCCGTGAAAGCAAGGGCAGATAATTGTTTTGCGCCTTTTTTCTAAAGTTATCTGTGCAGATGCCATACCACCGCAAGCATGGAGCCCACTCAGCTAACCGTCACTGTATGTCTCCTGGGTGCTGGCAGACGTGGTACTGCATTGCTACACAGCAGCAGTTAATAGCCTTTTGGCAGCAGACAGTGCAATATGACTGGTAGCCATCATCGACGTAGTCCTGGGTGCTCTTTTAACCGGGCGCTTGGGCAAACATGGGAGTGACTCAGCCAGGTCATTTCCCTTGTTTCGTCTCGTGGCGATTCAGTCCTACCAGCAGTGTGCTGTCTTTTAACCTCCAGCCAGCAGAAGATGATGGCTAGTCGTCATACTGCACCGTCTTCTGCCAAGCACCCAGGAGATGATGATGGCTAGCAGTCGTACTGCACAGTCTGCTGCCAGCAAGATGTATAAAGATAGATGAAGTGGCTCAAAACAAGAAATAGACCAGATTTGTTTTGTATTCATTTTCTTCTCCCTCCCTCCTTCCCTCTGTGAAATCAACGGCCTGCTAAACCCAGTTTTGAGTTCTATCCTTGAGGGGGCCATTCAGTTTCTCGCAAAGCCACCCCCTTTGTTGATTCTAATTCCCTGTAAGCCAACCCTGTAAGCCATGTTGTCAGTCACCCCTCCGTCCGTCAGGGCAATGACAGACAATCATTCCGCGCCTTTTTTCTGTGAAGACGCCAAAGCACGGCAAGCATGGAGCCCGCTCAGATCACTTGGGCAATTAGGAGCACATTAAACACCATGCACATTATCCAGCAGTATATGCAGCACCAGAACCTGGCAAAGCGATACCGGGCAAGTAGGTGACATCAGCGCGGTGACGTGAGTGATGAGGACATGAACACAGACTTCTCTCAAAGCATGGGCCCTGGCAATGTGGGCATCATGGTGCCAATAGGGCAGGTTCATGTGGCGGAACGCTGATTCTGGGCTCGGGAAACAAGCACAGACTGGTGGGACTGCATAGTGTTGCGGGTCTGGGACGATTCCCAGTGGTTGCGAAACTTTCGCATGCGTAAGGGCACTTTCATGGAACTTTGTGACTTGCTTTCCCCAGCCCTGAGGCGCAAGAATACCAAGATGAGAACAGCCCCGACAGTTGAGAAGCGAGTGGCAAGAGCCCTGTGGAACCTTGCAACGCCAGACAGCTACCAGTCAGTCAGGAATCAATTTGGAGTGGGCAAATCTACTGTGGGGGCTGCTGTGATGCAAGTAGCCAACGCAATCAAAGCTCTGCTGATATCAAGGGTTGTGACCCTGGGAAATGTGCAGGTCATAGTGGATGGCTTTGCTGCAATGGGATTCCCTAACTGTGGTGGGGCCATAGATGGAACCCATATCCCTATCTTGGCACCAGAGCACCAAGCCGTCAAGTACATAAACCGCAAGTGGTACTTTTTAATAGTGCTGCAAGCACTGGTGGATTACAAGGGACGTTTCACCAACATCAACGTGGGATGGCTGGGAAAGGTACATGACACTCGCATCTTCAGGAACTCTGGTCTGTTTCAAAAGCTGCAGGAAGGGACTTTCTTCCCAGACCAGAAAATAACCGTTGGGGATGTTGAAATGCCTATAGTTCTCCTTGGGGACCCAGCCTACCCCTTAATGCCACGGCTCATGAAGCCGTACACAGGTAGCCTGGATAGTAGTCAGGAGCTGTTCAACTACAGGCTGAGTAAGTGCAGAATTGTGGTAGAATGTGCATTTGGACATTTAAAAGCGCGCTGACGCAGTTTACTGACTCGGTTGGACCTCAGCAAAACCAATATTCCCACTGCTATTACTGCTTGCTGTGCACTCCACAATATCCGTGAGAGTAAGGGGGAGATGTTTATGGCGGGGTGGGAGGTTGAGGCAAATTGCCTGGCTGCTGGTTTCACACAGCCAGACACCAGGGCAGTTAGAAGAGCACAGGAGGGCACGGTGTGCATCAGAGAAGCTTTGAAAACAGTTTCATGACTGGATGGTATTTCGGTGTGAAAGTTCTGTTTGTTTCTCCTTGATGAAACCCACCGCCCCTTGGTTCACTCTACTTCCCTGTAAGCTAACCACACTCCCCTCCTCCCTCGATCACCGCTTGCAGAGGCAATAAAGTCATTGTTGCTTCAAATTCATGCATTCTTTATTCATTCATCACACAAATAGGGGGATAACTACCAAGGTAGACCAGGAGGGGTGGTGGAGGAGAGAAGCACCAGGAGGGATGGTGGAGGAGGGAAGGACAAGGCCACACAGCACTTTGAAACTTATTGAATGCCAGCCTTCTGTTGCTTGGGCAATCCTATGGGGTGGAGTGGCCGGGTGGCTGGAGGCCCCCCCACCGCGTTCTTGGGCATCTGGGTGAGGAGGCTATGGAACTTGGGGAGGAGGGCAGTTGGTTACACAAGGGCTGTAGCGGCGGTCTGTGCTCCTGCTGCCTTTCCTGCAGCTCAACCATACGCTGGAGCACATTGGTTTGATCCTCCAGCAGTCTCAGCATTGAATCCTGCCTCCTCTCATCACACTGCTGCCACCTTTCAGCTTCAGCCCTCTCTTCAGCCCACCACTTACTCTCTTCAGCCCATCACCTCTCCTTGTGGTCATATTGTGCTTTCCTGCACTCTGGCATTGTCTGCCTCCACGCATTCGTCTGTGCTATGTCAGTATGGGAGGACAGCATGAGCTCAGAGAACATTTCATCACAAGTGCGTTTTTTTCGCCTTCTAATCTTCACTAGCCTCTGGGAAGGAGAAGATCCTGTGATCATTGAAACACATGCAGCTGGTGGAGAAAAAAAAAGAGGCAGTAGTATTTAAAAAGAACACATTTTCTAGAACAATGGCTACACTCTTTCATGGTAAACCTTGCTGTTAGCATTACATACACAGCACATGTGCTTTCGTTCCAAGGTCGCATTTTGCCTCCCCCCACTACGTGGCTAGCCCCTCATCACCACCCCCCATGGCTAACAGCGGGGAACATTTCTGTTCAGCCACAGGCAAACAGCCCAGCAGGAACGGGCACCTCTGAATGTCCCCTTAAGAAAAGCACTCTATTTCAACCAGGTGACCATGAATGATATCACTCTCCTAAGGAGAGCACAGAGAGATAAAGAATGGATGTTGTTTGAATGCCAGCAAACATACACTGCAATGCTTTGTTCTACAATGATTCCCAAGTACGTGCTACTGGCCTAGTGTGGTAAAGTGTCCTACCATGGTGGGTGGAATAAGGCTGCCCTCCCCAGAAACCTTTTGCAAAGGTTTTGGGAGTACATCCAGGAGAGCCGCAAATGCCAGGGCAAATTAATCACTAAACATGCTTGCTTTTAAACCATGTATAGTATTTTAAAAGGTACACTCACCAGAGGTCCCTTCTCCGCCTGGCGGGTCCGGGAGGCAGCCTTGGGTGGGTTCGGGGGGGACTGGCTCCAGGTCCAGGGTGAGAAACAGTTCCTGGCAGTCGGGAAAACCGGTTTCTCCGCTTGCTTGCTGTGAGCTATCTTTCTTGTCCTCAGAACCTGCTTCTGTGTTGCCTCCATCTCCATTGAAGGAGTGAAACAACACGGCTGGGGTAGTGGTGGCTGAACCCCCTAAAATGGCCTGCAGCTCATCATAGAAGCGGCACGTTTGGGGCTCTGACCCGGAGCGGCCATTTGCCTCTCTGGTTTTCTGGTAGGCTTGCCTCAGCTCCTTAAGTTTCACGCGGCATTGCTTTGGGTCCCTGTTACAGCCTCTGTCCTTCATGCCCTGGGAGATTTTGACAAATGTTTTGGCATTTCGAAAACCGGAACGGAGTTCTGATAGCACAGATTCCTCTCCCCATACAGCGATCAGATCCCGTACCTCCCGTTCAGTCCATGCTGGAGCTCTTTTGCGATTCTGGAACTCCATCATGGGCACCTCCGCTGATGAGCTCCGGCCAGCGTGGCAAGCTGCAGGTGACCATGCAAACAGGAAATTGAAATTCAAAAGTTTGCGGGCCTTTTCCTGTCTACCTGGCCAGTGCATCTGAGTTGAGAGTGCTGTCCAGAGCGGTCACAATAGAGCACTCTGGGATAGCTCCCGGAGGCCAATACCATCTAATTGCATCCACAGTACCCCAAATTCGACCCGGCAAAGCCGATTTAAGCGCTAATCCATTTGTCAGAGGTGAATTAAGGAAATTGATTTTAAGAGCCCTTTAAGTAAAAAAAAAGGGCTTCATCATGTGGACGGGTGCAGGTTTACATAGATTTAACGCTGCTAAATTCGACATCAACTCCTAGCGTAGACCAAGGCTAGAAAGGAGTCTAGTCTGTGAAAGCAGCTTATTGGAACATCTCTGAGGGTGAGATTTACCTGTATTCAGTTTCTTAAATCTATTAGGCTTAGACTTGCATGTTTTATTTTATTTTGCTTGGTAACTTACTTTGCTGTGTCTGTTATTACTTGGAACCACTTAAATCCTACTTTTTATTCTTAATAAAATCACTTATTATTGAACGCATAGTAAGTGATTAATACGTAAGGGAGCAAACAGCTGTGCGTATCTCTCTATAAGTGTTATAGAGGATGGACAGTTTATGAGTTTACCCTGTATAAGCTTTGTACAGAGTAAAACTGATTTATTTGGGGTTTGGATCCCAGTGGGAGCTGGGTGTCTGGGTGCTGGAGACAGGAGTACCTGCTGAGTGGTTTTTCAGTTAAAGCCTGCAGCTTTGGGGACGTAGTTCAGTCGCTGGGTCTGTGTTGCAGCAGGCTTGCGTATCTGGCTCAACAAAATAGGGTTCTGGAGTCCCAAGCTGACAGGGAAAACAGGCTCAGAGTTTCAGCACATCAGGTGACAGTCCAAAGGGAGGGGTCTCTGTGACCAAACCCATCACACAAGCATTTGAGGAAAGTTAGTGGAGTAACGAAATAAGCAGTTTTTAGCTTAGATCAAACGTCTGATATCAAAGACACAAAAGTCTGTGTTTGGAGTAGAACATGTGCATCTTGACCGTTACCCAGGGAATTTAAAATATGCTGATATAGACTGAAGATAAAACAAGGTAAGTTGAACAAGTGTTTAAATGTACAGATTAGGGCGGTCGATTAATTGCAGTTAACTCGCGATTAACTCAAAAAAATTAATCACAATTACAAAAATTAATCTCGATTAATCGCAGTTTTACTGTTAAACAATAGAATCATAAACCAGTCGGAGAACACTTCAATCTCTCTGGTCACGCAATCACAGACATGAAGGTTGCTATCTTAAAACAAAAAAACTTCAAATCCAGACTCCAGCGAGAAACTGCTGAATTGGAATTCATTTGCAAATTGGATACTATTAATTTAGGCTTAAATAGAGACTGGGAGTGGCTAAGTCATTATGCAAGGTAGCCTATTTCCCCTTATTTTTTCCTACCCCCCATCCCCCCAGACGTTCTGGTTAAACTTGGATTTAAACTTGGAGAGTGGTCAGTTTGGATGAGCTATTGCCAGCAGGAGAGTGAGTTTGTGTGTGTATGGGGGGGAGTGGGGGGTGAGAAAACCTGGATTTGTGCTGGAAATGGCCCACCTTGATTATCATGCACATTGTAGGGAGAGTGGTCACTTTGGATGAGCTATTACCAGCAGGATAGTGAGTTTGTGTGTGTGGTTTTTGGAGGGGGGTGAGGGAACCTGGATTTGTGCAGGAAATGGCCCACCTTGATTATCATGCACATTGTGTAGAGAGTTGTCACTTTGGATGGGCTATTACCAGCAGGAGAGTGAGTTTGTGTGTGTGTGGGGGTGGAGGGTGAGAAAACCTGGATTTGTGCTGGAAATGGCCCAACTTGATGATCACTTTAGATAAGCTGTTACCAGCAGGACAGTGGGGTGGGAGGAGGTATTGTTTCATGATCTCTGTGTGTATATAAAGTCTGCTGCAGTATCCACGGTATGCATCCGATGAAGTGAGCTGTAGCTCACGAAAGCTCATGCTCAAATAAATTGGTTAGTCTCTAAGGTGCCACAAGTACTCCTTTTCTTTTTGCGAATACAGACTAACACGGCTGTTACTCTGAAACCAATTTAAATGTATTACATATTTTGGATGTTTTTCTACATTTTCATATATATTGTATTCTGTGTTGTAATTGAAGTCAAAGCATATCATTATTCTTGAATACAATTATTTGCACTGTAAAAGATAAACAAAAGAAAGTATTTTTCAATTACCCTCATACAAGTACTGTAGTGCAATTTCTGTGTGGTGAAAGTGCAATTTACAAATGTAAATTTTTTTGTTACAAAACTGCACTCAGAAACAATGTAAAACTTCAGAGCCTACAAGTGCACTCAGTCCTACTTCTTGTTCAGCCAATCGCTAAGACAAACATATTTGTTTACATTTACAGGAGATAATGCTGCCCTCTTCTTATTTACAACATCACCAGAAAGTGAGAACAGGCACTTCTGTAGCTGGCATTGCAAGGTATTTATGTGCCAGATATGTAGGGTGACCAGACAGCAAGTGTGAAAAATCAAGACAGGGGTAGGCGGTAATAGAAGCCTATGTAAGAAAAAGACCCAAAAATCAGAACTGTCCCTATAAAATCAGGACATCTGGTCACTGTAAAGATATGCTAAACATTTGTATGCCCCTTCATGCTTCAGCCACCATTCCAGTGGACATGCTTCCATGCTGATGATGCTTGTTAAATAAATAAAATGTGTTAATTAAATTTGTGACTGAAATTTTTTTTTTCTTAAATCAGAAAAAAGCATTGCACTTGTTTTGCTTTTTAAAAAAAAAAAAAAAACAGACAAACCCCTTTTCAGGCTTAAAATATACATTATAATATTTTCATCCTTTTTTGTTTGTTTAGAACCAAGTGGGAATTTCACCTGGGGCACTCACATTTCTCAGGTAGTCTGTCAACCAATGAACCCCCCAATATTACTTACTAAAGCACACTGAAGTTTTCTTGAAAGCCCCCCACCAAAGTATTAGCCAGCAGCATTTACATATTTCTTGTCAATCATGTTGAGCCATGTATTCTGTGGAGTATTTTATGATAAACCCTGTTCCCGCCATAAAACCCAGGAGCTGTATGGAGCCAATGAGGATGTGCGTGCTTAGGACTAATAAAGAAATAACGAAAGCAAGGTTGGCCTTTGGTCAAAAAGAGCTCTTGGAAAATCAGAATTTGGCGTCTCCATACACATTCTGCAGCCTCATTTGCCTTTGGGGATGCACAGGAGAAAGGAGGCAGAGACAGATGGCTGAAAGACTGGAGAGGAACCAGAAGCGTTTTCTCCCTCCCCATTTTAGGTTGAGGGGAAGAACAATAAATCAGTCTCTCAAACCCTTGCCTTTGAGAGAAGCCAAAGTTTACTTTACTGAAAGAAATTTGGAGGATGGGGAAGGTAGAAGGGACACCGACTTTTCTGGGCATGAAATATTTCATCTTTTTGTGAGGAATAAAATGTTCAGTGTGGTTATTCAGTTAGTGAAGCCTTGCTAGTTTCTTTAGTACACCTGTAGTGAAGCATGTCTCCCATTGACTTTTCTTTCCAAAATTCGTGCAATTAACACATACAGCGCTTACCTTAACTTTCCATCTGTCCTGTCAATACACACTGGGAGATATCAAAATGTCCTAAAGCACTCCCTCCTCCCCACACCTGAGAGATAGGCACCTAATTCCAGGCTGCAGGGAGGAACTCTCTCTGTCAGGGTTCCGCAAACAGGAATCCTGGAATCAGGCAGCTTAGGCACCTTAGATGTTTCTTGAGGGAAATGGCCAGAGGAGGTGGTGGTGCCCATCTCAACTTTCAGCACACTTGTCTGAGATGTGGGACACCCAACTCCAATTCCCCCCCTCTATCAGAGGGAGAAAGGCTTTGAACAGGGGGGTCTGTTGCCCTGCAGGCGGGTGCTCTAACCATTGAGTTGATGTAGGGCTCCCTCAGGGCATGTCTACACTACAAAATTGAGTCAACTTAAGTTCAGAAGCTGTATGTTGATGTCAGTAATTAAATCGTTTTTGCGTGGCCACACTATGCTCCTTGTGTTGATGGTGCTCATCACCAGGAGCATTTGTACCGACTCTACTGTCAGTGCAGGGCATTGCGGGATGGATTCTGAAAGCCAGTAACAGTCGATGTAAGTCTATACTGACACTGCATCGACCTAACTGCACCAACCTAGCTAGTGCTGACTCTACACCTCTGATGGAGGTGGAGTTAAGTCGGTGTAGCGGGGCAGTTACATCAGCAGGAGCAAATTTTTAGTGTAGACACTTAGGTCATCAGCTGTCTTGAGTCTACTTAACTCTGTAATGTAGACCAAATATATGAAAAGTCCTGTTTCCCTGAACACAGTAGGAATCAAACAGTAGTTTCCTTGCTTAATATTCCATGGCTTTTTTTCCAGCCAGCATTCTATCCAAAAAGCTGTTTCTCAGCTCTCTCTCAAGGTCACATTAAAAGTGCTTCTCTGGCTGTTCTTGGCTTCCTGTTGCCTTCTCAGTACTTCTATGGTGTTTCTGGCTGGGTCTGCTCCCAGCCACACAGCTGCCTCCTCTTCAGCCCTCTCAACCGCAGCAGAAGAGAAGAGAGACACTAACAGCCAAGTTCTTTTGCTGTTCATTTGTCCTTAACCCACACAGAGCCTCAAATTTGACAGGTTGACCGTCAGCGTATTCCACTCCGCATTTCCTCCCTTCAATTCTTTCCTTTACAGATAATTTGCTACAGCATATGGAGTGATGGAGATAATCCAGTTCAAAACACAGCCCACCTCCACCCTCTTCTGCTTCTCAGCACCCCCCCCGCGCCCATCTCTTCTCCAGGGATAGCTCTCCTGCATTACTGCCCAAGATAGAGATGAATTCTTTATGAATAGGAGCCACTGAAGTACCAAACCAGTACAGAGGGAAATGTTTCTAAACACATTTTGTTCCTCCTGTACTGCTCAAATAGTAGTAGTGAAGTACTTTCAGCTTATTTTAGCTGAAGTTTAGCTTTTTCTGCTTCTGAAAATCTTAAATAAAACTTTTAAATGACAAAGCTGGGGGGGGGGGGGGGCGCGAAACAGGACAGGAGATAGGAAAGTTTGAATGACCAACCTGATTCACTGCCCTTATGACATTTTCAAGCAGCTTTATAAAAGGATGGCTGTTATGTTAGATGCTTGCTTGCCTCCACTAAGCCCAGGACAGTGGAGGCCTGATTATGCTCTCACTAATTTAGACTAGGGCTACACTACAGCTTAGGTCAATATAACTTATGTCGCTATGGGGTGTGAATAAGCCACCCCCATGAGTGACATAAGGTACACCAACCTACGCGTCAGCAGGAGAGCTTCTCCCATAGTCATAGCTACCGCCACTCATTGGGGTGGATTAATTAAATGAACAGGAGAGCTCCCTCCCATAGGCTTAGGGCGTCTGCACTAGCAGCTCTACAGCAGTGCAGCTGTAAGCTCTCTAGTGTAGCCATAGCTTAAATCAACAGCACACCCATTGGACTGGAATGGCTGCATTTTACTAGTTACCATACAAAAATGCTAATGACATCGTACTTGATATTTTTTCTTCTACGTTGGATTACGGGTTTATCCTTTTCTTTAAAATGTCATACATGAAGTTACAACTTTAATAGTACTCAGTTCTGTATTTAAGGCTATTAGTCTGCCATTATGGTACTAAGTAGATAGTTTAGGTTGCTGGTTCAACAAAACATCCCTCCCCATATTACACTTCAGTTTCTACCCCTAAAGATCAGGTAAAAAGCACAAGCAAACTGTAGGTTATGGCTTATTTCTTGCTAGTTGATCATCTCACAATGGTGGTTTACTTCATTTGGGACATAATTCTCATTTTGCTTCAACGGTCATTTTAGTCTCTATCTGTTAAAACAATCTTCAATATGTGATAACATTACTAAAATTAAAAAGTAATATTTATATATTTCAGTATTGGAGACTACATATTTCAAAACAAAAGGCATTCTTAGCAATTCTTACTGAGCAGAAACTTAAAGAATTACAACAGTAATGAGCTCTAACAATAGTCCATACGCTCACCAACAGAAATGCTTATTTCTTTTAGTAGTAAAATACAAATCAACTGAACACCATGATTATGAGTTGTCATACTTTGCATTCAGATTTTTTATTGTATGAACATTGCTTCTGTCAACAGCTTTACAAGCTACAGGTTAGCTGAGAATTATTTGATTTCTTTTCACTGAGTGATTTCAAACTAGAACTGTTCAGATTATAAATCTTGCATGCTCCTCTGGAACCAAGCATTGGGGGGGGGGGGGGGGGGGGGGGGAACTCCACAAGAACAGACTTGCAGCTGCATAGTTTCAGCTTACCAAGGAAAGACAAGTGGGAGAAGAGCCATTAATATACTTTAAATTGTGTTGCTTTATCTGACTAAACTAAGTTATAGATACAAATTCATAGCCAAGAATGCAATTATCACATTTTTTTCAGTCTCCCCAGCCTCACTTAAGTTTCTCTGAAGTGCAGGTTCTCCTTTGTCCCATAACACTTGGATCTGATCATACTCTGCCCGTCCCACTAATCATCACCTGTGTAACACTGTTCCCCACCACCAAAACCCAGAAGCCTCTCTACATGTGGGGTATCCACATTGGTGGCAGTAGCAGTAATCAGGAGCCACCACGCTGCTAGGGAATTAGAGTACATCTGTTATGTTTCATTTTAGGTGCTTTTCTGAGGTGGAGAAGAAAACTACTTCTTTCCCTGCACCTCACACAGAACAATGAGGAGAAATCTGAGTGGGAATGGACAGTTAGTCTCTATTTGTAACTCCTGCACCTAATTACTACCCATTTTCAATGAGGTTAGGGTTTTGTTTTTTTTTAATTGTATAGCCTTGACACTTGCATTCCAAGGAAAAACTGCAAGCTTTTTGAACAAATAATCCAAATCTAGTCTATGATTGTAGGCAGACTGGCTTTATGGTATTCAGAATAGTTTCAGGTTTCAGAGTAGCAGCCGTGTTAGTCTGTATATCCAAAAAGAAAAGAAGTACTTGTGGCACCTTAGAGACTAACCAATTTATTTGAGCATAAGCTTTCGTGAGCTACAGCTCACTTCATCGGATGCAGTTTCACTCTTTCCTACTAAGGTGGCATAGCCTTTCCCTGATACAGATAAGTTTTTATTTCTGAAGTATGAGGCTAGTACTGCCACATTCATCACACTTGGCATGGACACAAGGAACAAAGTTAAGCCTCTACTTATAAGCATCTACTTATTGCCAGCTATATGTATGACATTCTCACGTCACACACGGACTGGCACAGGGATATGGGATCATCAATATGAAGGTTGGTTGTTGGCACACTACAGTGTGCAATTTACGATGATACATAGATTATTCCATCATGTATGCTCATCAGTTTTAAGCAGGACATACAAAAATGAGCTGTTGTGAACTGGCCAGAGGTCAAGTGTAGCTGAACACAAACTAATGCATATAAAGGTAAACGTGACTGAAGGAGGGACTGTCCTACTGTAGATTGTACAGAGATATTACTGAGCTCTTAATGGAAGTGAAAAATAAATGTACAACCAGCAGATGGCATAATGCCAGAGCTGCAAAAACTGCACTAAGTGGCATGTAACCAAGGAAAAAGCATGAACATTGTTTTTTTTTTTTACAAGTCACTATCAACTGTAAGTGTTTCTAATATATTCACATAGCCCTATACAAAGCAAGTTTGATTCTTTATATTCCAAAAGTAGAAGTCCTGTGAGAAAAAGAACAATACACATTAAGTCTATTACCACACTCCCGCAAGGCTACTTCATGTTGTTCTGATGAATATTCAAAAGCCTGTGAGGTAGCCAAGTATTATCTCCATTTTACAGACAGAGAAAGATACAGAGGTGAAGTGCCATTCAAAGCCATCCTGCAGGTATGTCGCAGAATCTGAAGAGAATTTAGCAATTCTGAACCTGTCCCATTTGAGAAAAGCAACTAAAATATCTGCTACACTTAGTGACATCATAGACCCCATTGATGGCATATTAGGTACAATGTGTAACTGAAGAAGTGAATAAACATACAATGTTATTACACATGGTTGCAAATTACAAAGTAAAAATTAGCATGTTGGAGGAATAGCCAAAGCCTGAAATTCACACAGCAAGACTGCATTGCTAATGCTCTGCCTACTCACGATTTCTCCAATATGTCTGATCCTGACGAGACCACATCAGAGGGCAAGGTGTTAGTGAGTTATCTGTGGTTATTCACTCCTTGGTGGTTCTTCCCAAACAAAAAGGACAATTTTTATGGGTGTCTGTGTACTAGGAACTGAAATCAAAAGCTGATTTTAGATAGGTCACTACTAAGTCATGGATCCTTGCCCTAGATCAGTGGTTTTTAAACTTTTTTTCTGACGACCTAGTTGAAGTAAATTGTTGATGTCCGAGACCCAACAGAGCTGGGGATGAGGGGGTTGGGGCGTGGGAGGGGCTTAGGGTTGGGGCAGAGGATTGAAGTGTGGGGGTGAGGGCTGTGGAGTGGGGCTGGGAATGAGGGTTCAGGGTGTGGGAGCTCTGGACTGGGGCAGGAGGTTAAGGTATAGAAGGGGGGCAGGGCTCTGGGCTAGGGCCAGGGATGAGGGGTTTAGGGTGCAGGAAGGGGCGCGGGCTTACTTTGGGTGGCTCCCGGTCAGTGGCGCAGAGGGGTGCTAAAGCAGGCTTCCTGCCTGTCCTGGCACCGCAGACCATGCTGTGCCCCGGAAGCGGCCAGCAGCAGGTCTGGCTCCTAGGTGGAGGTGTGCAAGCAGCTCTGTGCAGCTTTCACCCGCAGGCAGTGCCCCCCACAAGCTCCCATTGGCCAGCAACTGGCCAATGGAGTGCGGAGCCAGTGCTCAGGCAGCACATGGAGCCCCGTGGCCCCCTCACCTAGGAGTCAGACCTGCTGCTGGCCACTTCCAGGGCACAGCGCAGTGTCAGAACAGGAAGGGACTAGCCTGCCTTAGCCGGGCAGCACCGCCGATGGGACTTATAACAGCCCGGTCAGCAGGGCTGACCAGAGCTGCCGTGAACCAGTGCTTTACATTCCGTGACCCAGTACTGGGTCGTGAACCGCAGTTTGAAAACCACTGACCTAGACCACACAAACCAATGACCTAGAAATGAAAAAAAGACAACAACGGTCTGGAGCCTAACAATTCCCCTGAACCATCCAGTCACCTCCCCTTCTCCCCTTGGCTGGTTCTTCTAATCAGCAAGTATGTCAAAAAAAAAAAATGCTGTAAAATTTGTATATAGATCTTAAAAAGGGATTGCAGATTTGTTGTACAATAAATCATTGTTCAGCTGCAGCTGCTATAAGCTATTATCCTGCCAGTGTTTATTGAACAATACAGCTAGTTTGCAGTATATTTTCAATATAGTATTCAGGTAGTGTTCTGCCTATCAGTTAAGTTTTGAAAGAGTATGCAGCTGAGGAAAATCAGCTCTTCTACAGTCTCAATATTGTAGAGTTGCAGAGCTTGAATTCTTGAAGTTACTAACAGTTATATACCCTTCCACAGAAAGACAAATAAGGTGTGCCACCTTAATCATTACTGTGATTAGTTTGCATAAGCCTACGTCCATCATACTTCTCTTACTATACCATGAACTACGACTTAAACAGAAGTGATCGGGTCATCATGCTGTAAACAAATGAGAATTCTGTTCAGGTTTTGATACTGTGCTCATTCTTGTATCTGAGCATCTTCCAGGAGTGCGTGCATTAATTCACACCACACTTATTGTCTACAAGAATTCCCACAATTTAAGTAAAACTTAACAGCTATAAAAATCCAATTATTTCTCACTTAATTAGTGGTTAAAAAGTTAGATTTTCAAAATACCATTCTTGACACATCACACCTTTTTTAAAAAAAAAACAAGATTCTTTTTATGCAGGTTTTTAAAAAGAAACCCTATATATTTCAAACTGCTGAAATGTTTGACTGCATACCTTGTTCTTTGCAGGGTCTCTTTTTTTAACCTAAAAAACACTTCAATCCCAAAACAACTGCAGCACACAAGGAAAGGATTCCCCTCTAGCAGATTGAGATTCGTTTTGGTCTTCACAGGCACCTAAATCTCTTCTATTCCCTACAGCAAAAAGTAAGTTATTATAAGCTAAGAACTTCAAGCAGTCCTTAGTAGAGAGTAATATTATGAGCATGCATCTTACAAATGGGGAGATGGAGAAATGTGCTATTACAGCAAACCATATACGTACCCAGCATTTCTAATTGCAACCAGTAAGCGACCAAGTTTCAACGTGAAAATATCAGTTTTAGGCAATGTCCATATTTTTAAAAACACCACACAACAGGATCAATCAGTAATTGATTTGCTACTCAAATAAATAGAAAATCTGCATTTTAATGTCACATTGAATTTTAGTACATTTCAATCCAAGAAAAAAAAAACAGAGACATGGTAATGAGTACAGGATTATATATTACAATATGCCTTGTTATATTACATTTGTGGCTGTATGATAAAAATAACTCTGGCAGATGGAATCTGAACTCATTAAGTAACTGTCAGGAATAAAGCATTAAATGCATTTCTGAAATAAGTACTTTATTTAATTTCAAAATCTTCAAACAGCATAAGACCGTGGCCTTGTTTAAAAAAGTTAACACTGAGCCAGCTGAATAAGTATTTTGAAAGGTTTTAAGATACTTAAAATAGACAATGCTTTCCCCAGTCTTGCATCCAATGAAGGGCTAGATGATTTCTACAGCAGCACAGATGGCTAAATCCATCATGAGCCTTGAACTAGAAATGTACACTACTGAAATCTTCAAGGAATCCAGCAAATTTCAGAAGTTGCTCACTTCATATGAAAGCAAGAGAGTTATTGTATGCAAAAATATTTTTTAAACCGTTCTTAATTTTAAATGGAAATCTAAAGGCATGGTCTTTTCATTATAAAAAAAAGTAAAGGTACAACAGAAACTCTAGAGGAAGGTTTTCAGCTATATTGATTTTGTGACCCTCTGAGAAAAAGGAAACAAACTGAAAAAAAAAACAAACAAAAAAAGGTTCATTCGTTAAGCTTTGTGCTCTAACCAAAGTACTTACAGTGATTTTTCAATGGCAAAAGCCCATGCTGACTGGGTGACAACAGTTCCAAATACTTTTTATTTGAAAAGAAAGAACACTAAAATTATCCAGTCATGCAATGTTTTTCTTAAGCATTCTGCATCTCTTTTCCAATCTTGTAGCTAAGGATCTTGTTCCAGTCAATCTTAGTGCGGGTAACTGGCAATTGTCGACGTAAGGCCTTGAAAGTAGTGTCTGACATAGTTTGATAATTCTCACTGATAGCAGTCTGTTAAACAGAGCAAAGAGTTAGAATTATTCAAAACAAAACTACACTGGAAAAAAGAAAATAACTGAAACAGTGGCATACGTATACAGATAATTCAAATAATCACAGGATAATGTGTAACCTGTTGCCTCCTGTTCTTAAGTCTTACTAAAATTATGCAGTCTAAAAAAATTAAGATCACACATGTTTTCAGTAAGCTGTCAAATGGGAGCCCAAACTCTGTCTTGGTTTTGAAAGTTAAATGTAGGTTTTGAGACCTAACAGCATTACCATAGACCATAACCTTTCACTTTTTTCCCCCCTATGGGGGTGATCAGTTTGCACATACACTACATTTAGGGTCAGCAGAATTAAAAAATTCAAACTGATAATATCAATGTATATTTTAAAGCATTTTTAAAAAGTTGATTTAAATTTTCAGTTGTGGGAAATTAATGACAGCAGATGCTGAGATTCAAAAAATTAAAGCTTTATAACTGTTAAACAAATTGCTTACATCACATCAAAAATATGCCAAGTAAATATCTTTAAATCAAACTCAAATTCTCAAGCAGCATTATTCTTCCTTTGCCTCGCAGTAAATTTTGATTATTGATGGAAATATTTGTTTGTGAAATCAATGCTTAATGATAAAAATCCAATCATTCCAAGACTAAATACGTGTAAGCACTACAAGTAACACTTTTAGTCATCTGAATTTAAAGTGTACAGTGTTATTTTGCTAAAAAGCACAAGTGGGATATAATTTCGTGCCTGAAAGTGATCCCTTAGATCAAAAGTTTAATGAACATGGAACTCAAATTTCCACAAATGACTCCTAGAACAGTTATATTTTGCAAACTCTATAAACCTCATCCATTTGAAATACTTGTCTTATTCAAATAAGGTGAGGTTCTGATTTGCTTAGATGGAAATTTCCACCAAAATGTGAACTTCTTGCTCTGGTGAAATATTATCTACATATCAAGATGTGTCCATCCAATCAGAGTATTTAACTGTGGACTTGCCTTTCATAAGAGGTTGTGCACTTCTGAAATGAAATAATGTGGATTACACTTGTGCCTAGAAACTCTAGTGAAACTCAGGGTCCCACTGTGCTATACTGACAAAAAAATCTGCCCTCAAAAAGCTCACAGTCTAATTTAAAACAAGACGCAACAAGTAGGTAGAACAACCAGAAGGACTGGGAGCAGGAAATGCGGGTAACAGAGAAGTTTTAGTTCTGCACTCTAGCTATCAGCACAATTAGACTGTCTTGACTCTGTTTCTTAAAGTTATAAAATGAACGGTATTATAGCAATAATCCTTAAAATTGAAATGAAATACCAAAACTGCATTCACTTACAAAAGCCAGTTTTCCTTCTTCAGTAATATTACATGAGTTTTCGTACTCAGTCTAAGTGTACACAATATTAGGCGAAATTACGCATTGTTTTACATATGAGTAATAGATTTTGGATGTTTCAGAAGTCATACCTGATACTCATTTTCTGCAGCCTCTACAATTTTTATAAATTCCTTTGCTGTTTGGGCTTCGTTCTAGGGAAGAAAGGATTTGTTTTCAAATTAAGTAACTCTAAAATGTAACAACCCTAAAAAAGCTGTCAGTGAATTATACTTCTCCTGGAATTATAAGATGCTTAAAGTAGCCTCCAATAGCCAGAAAGTCTATAATAGATTAATTGGGCTTTCATAACAAGTGTTATTCAGTTCAAGCCTCAATTTGAAAAACTTTGTGCTTCCTAAAGCCTGAGTAACTCCATTTTCTCTTTGGTACTATATTTTGAATGCCTGAGTTATGCCTTGGTGCTGCATATCTCTAAATATAGTCCTTAAGTATAAACTAAGCTCATTACTGGAAAGAGGAAAAACTAGTGAATCTTAAGAAAATTTGCAGCAGTATCACTGTCTAGTTACTTGTGGGCAAGTCACTATAGAACCATTTATGGAAGCCACGGCTATTAAATACCTGTGGGCAAGAGAATATAGAGCCATTTAAACAGCTAAGGATAGTACATACCAAAACAAGCAGATCTCATTGAGCCCTTCTCCAGTTATTTTTGCCAAAATTATTGGCAAAGACCAATAACAATAACAAGACTGTAGAGAGATGCATTTGAAAGTACTCATACTATAACATATTTGATTATTCAACAGAAGTGAAAAATAAGTCTCTAAAAATATTGTAAAACAAGGGTGTTAAAATGTTTAATCTTTACCATAAAACTCAGTTTACACAGGGCAACCTTAAGAATATGAACAACTGATCAGAGCTCCAAGAGGATTTCCAGCAAGAGGCTACTACTGAGCTGAGCTGAGAAATAAGGGATACTGGAACTTGGGGGTCTAGCTTGCACATTTTTAGGAGACTCGGAGATAAGGGTGCATCTGGAGCAGGGCATCCTAATGCCAACATTTTTAGATAGACTAGCAGAGCGCCTTGGCCAAGAGTCCCATCCTAAAAGAATGGGTAATCCTCTCTCCTTGTCTTCTACCAGTCAGAATTTGACCTTATGGGAAATAAATTAAGCTAACTCCTTGAGGGGTATGCCTAGAAGGTGGTAGCCTCCAGATCTGCAAGAGGAGCTGCTTCCACAGAGATGGGAGGAGTTGTCTTCAGCAGTGGAGCTATAAAAAGGTTCCTGGAAATTACAGAGGAGGAAGAGGGGGAGACCAGTGGAGGTGGTGCCCACTTAGCGAAAAAGAAGAGGCCTGAATCCTGCAGAGAGGCAAGGAAGAGAGACCTCATATGCTCTATTGAGTCAGGCAATCTTTCCTGGACTAACAGCTTCTGCTCAGCTTCCAGAAAAAAAGGCCATGTATGTTGGGAGGGCTGAGAGACACTGAATGAATCCCCTACTGATTTGGCATACTTATTCATATCTGTCTTTAGCAAGGGAGCTTTGGAATTATTCATTTCAGGTCTGCTGTTGCTGGTAGGAAGCTGCTGCTCAGCCACATGGTGAAGAAAAGGAGGGGGCCCAACAGCTAAGGCACTTTTCCTGCTCTCTCCAAGAGGACAGCGGGCTTTGCCTGTGTTGTCTTCTATGCCTTGTATGCCTGAAGTCTAAATATGCCTGAAGAGGACACATTTTGTTGCCCTTCTCCCTGTTAAGAGCAAGGAAGGCAGGCTGTTTGAGGAAGTGCTAAGCACCAAATCTCTTGGTCCAGATTGGTCCTTCAGTATCTGACTGATATGGCAGGACAGGACCCACTGTTGGAACAGTCCCCTTAGTCTCCACTGAAGCAACTGTCAGATGAAAAGAGCATAAGTAAGGATGTTTGGTCCCTTTACTTGACTCAGAAATAATTTCCATGTCTACAACTTCTGAAATTTTATCATTTAGCACCGCACTTCCCCACTCTGTATGCTGTTATTGTGATTGGAAAGCCAGCGAGCCTTGCTTTTTTTTTTTAAAATATATATTTATTTTAATTCGCCATGTTCTTTGTTAAATCCAGTTTGGCACTCGGAGCCCAGTTCTTCATCAGCATGTCATGATCATCTGAGATGCTTTCAAAATGTACTTTTTCCATTCCCTTCCGCTAATATAATTTCATTGACAAGTTTATTAATGGACACCCCAAGCACTAAATATGTTTATTCACTTCCTCATGCCTTCTACCAGTCATGGTATTTTATTATTAAGAGCAATTATTAGTTCATTCTGCACTCAGACAGCACCAGTCCCTATAGTGAACAGGCCTTAGGATGCAACTGTTTCCACACAAATGGTTATTTTTAGGCATCTCCTCCCTAATGCACCATAATCATCTCTATCAAAAAGGGACAGCTAAGAAGAAATAAGGCCTGTATCCAGCAGGCGTGGAGCCTCTCAGCTGCAGAATATGTGAAGTTTTGTCTCTGTCCCCTGAAATGGATTTAAATGTCCATGAAATCAAAGGCCTGATATCACTGGTTACAGATAGCTTGAACTAGTATAGCCTAACACTAGTTATGGAATTCTCCCCTAACACACTGCTATTTTTAGAGCCCTCATCTTCTCCTAAGCAAATGCTGCCAATTGTGTAGCAATACTTGGGAGGGGAAGGAGAGTGTGTTCAGCAGGTACTACAGACCAAACTCATTGCACATTCAAAATATAATTCCATAAGCCACACAGCCACCTAAAATTAACAGTTTAGCAAGAGTTAGAGTAAGTGCAGATAAATAATAATAAGTGCAGACAGTTTAAACTAACTATAATCTCACAACTAAAATTAATCTGTCTTGTTTCTTTAAAAGTCACAAGCAAAAAAAGTCATGCAGCAAATTCAAATTACAGTACTCTGGAGGACTTCACAGAACACAGAAGACATCTATACCTAAATGTACACGCAATGTAAAAATATTAGCTAGCTACTTGCATGTACAATTTTATTCACGTATTTCTAAATGGTGAAAGTATCTTATGTCAGAATGTCTAACCAGCACTGTTGTGTAGAATACAAGAAAAAACACTTGCAGTGTAGAATACAAAGGCCAGAACTCACGCTGAGCATCAAAAGTCTTAACAGTGTCATATTAAATAATACATCCAAAACCTATACCAAAAATGTGTCACTTAAACAGATAATGAGATCTTGTAAAAAGATAACTTACAGACACTGTTAATGAATCTTGTATGTCTTTATGGCTCACTAGCTGAACATTACCATCTTCATAATAGTGAACCTATGCAAAAATAAAACAATATTACAGTACGACAGATAGTGAATCAGCATGGTGGTAAAATGCCAACGTTCGTCAATATGTAAACACACTTTTCTGGGGAAAGGGCGGGAGCTATTGGTGGTGCGTTTTCACTGAAATGCAGAGTTATACTTGAAGTGCTCAGCATTTATGTGCTCAGAGTAGCACTTTTCGTGTCTAGGAATTTCTTTTGCAATTAACAGTTCATTTTATCCAAGCTACTTGCGGTAGCAGAAAGGTGTTGTTCTTCAGGAGACTTTTTGGAAGCTACTCAAGTAGCGAGGATTGACTTTGTTCAAGGAGAGTTTTGGCAAAGCTTCAGACTGCAGTGTGTTGCTGTCCTCCTTGCTCACCCAGACTTTTTGCTGGAGGCAGTGTGACATCTTGTATTAAGCAAGCCCAGGTGATCTTTCTAAAAAGAATTCCCTCCTGCACAATAATATTAGTAACCTAACTAGGAGACAAAGCAGAATATGTTTTGAAACTCTTGATCTCTCCCCACAACGGTTTACTGTACTCCCCCCCCCCCGCCCTCAATTTACAGTCCTACCAGTCTTAGTCTTAGATTCTTTAAAGGTATTAAAACGAATCTTGATAAAGTCAATGAGTTAAAAACTGGAGTGATTTGAAGACACTGAAAATGTAGGATTATAATGCTGAACACTGGTTTCTATGTGGAGGATTTAAACACCAATGGGAAATTAAAGAGGTACTTAGATGTAAGGTTATTCACAACAAATGACATGGTATTGAAGAGGAATGGATATCGTTACAATTTAAACTGGAATCTTTGGAAAATGCTAAGGATAAAAGGATTGTGGCCTTTAATGCCAGAATCAAAAGGAAATTATGATGCACATGCACTTGCAACTGAAACTGAGAGAAAGGTCTTGGAACTGAGCCTTGAGACAGAAAATTAGGATTTTTTTGTTTGTTTGTGTTTGTTTTTACACTTGTGGCCCTAGAGTTCACTGATTAAAAAATGGGCAACTGAACTGTAAATTGTACCTAATAAATTGTGGGATATGCCCATCCATGTTTACCTTTCTAATCACTTTCACAGAGGAACATCAATGGCACTGTATCAATATAAATGCTACTTCCAAAATGAAACAGAGGAGGAGAGTTTTTTTTTTTTTTTAAGGGTAAGAGGACATCTGTTTACCAGTTGTGGCAAAAATAACTGACACCATTCATTCACAGCTGAATTTACAGAGAAGGAAATCAATTCTATTTTTTACCCCTCTAAACAGATGAAAAAGGTGCCATTCATTATCAGAAAATGAGAATTTGATACAGTTGAAGAAACATTTATTGAAAAAGACAGACTCTGCCCATGATGCACAGCAAAATCATAAAACACAGGCGTTAGGATTCCTCTAGTAGAGGCTCCAACAATCACTCTTTTGGGAAAGAGTTTCTGCCTTCCCATAGGGACTGGTAAGGACGTACGTTAGTGATTTCTAATGTATATATGTACTCATTACTTTGGCTGATCTTGTAATAAGTCTGGTACGGTATTCAAGGAAATGTTTGACTTTTTTGATAGTGTAAACGCCGATTCTTAATCCTTTTTTAGAAAGTGTTTCCATTTGCATTGTAGAAGCAACATACAACTTCTGGAACAAGGAGTATATTCCTCTAATCCTATGCCTTCAAGAGAAAATAGCCTAAACCTGCATCCAGCCTTCTTTGACGAGACACCAACCCTTTTGATTCAGGAGGCAAGAGAGCCAAAAAAAAAAAACCCCCAAACCAAAAACCCAGAACAAAAAACCCAACCCCCCGCTCCACAACACACAAAATGAGATGAGTCTCCAAAGCCCTCCATCATCCATTTTTACTATATATATATATATATATATATGAATCCATGAATGACTATTTACAGACAGAATTAATGCCAGTTTATTTTAAAATACCGCAGAATGATTAATTAAATGTGTATTTGTTCCATTTTTTCTTGTACCACAATTATTATTGTTGCTACATCACCATGAGATTCCCGTGGTTAAAAAAAAACCTAGAGACCTACTATACGCTGAAGTATACAATTTATGATAAGCCTACCTGAATTTTCAAGATGCCAGCCACCTGAGTGGTTGAAGGGGTAATTGCAAACTTCCATTCTGACCTCCAACGGCCATTCCTTAAAAATAAAAACAGCAGCTATAAATAAGGCAGGGAAAATAATTTGAATAAAATGTTGAATTTCAAACACCTAGTTTTGCACTACTAATGACACACTTGGATTTAATTTGAAATCACTAAGGGAGGTAGTATGGGAAACACGCAATACTCTTACAAAAGAAAATCACTCATGGTTTTAAGACACAAACAGTTGAGAAAAACTGGGACTCTGTAGAAACACTTATTGCTGCTTTTGGATATGAAGCATGATTTTTTATTCATACAGCCATTCTAACAGGAACTTTTTCTTGGTCTCTAAAAATGTTCCTCATTATTAATTATTTGTCAATTGGGCATGTGTAGCTGAGTACTGTTTAGAGCAAAGGAAGACTATTACTGGAAATCTCCAGTAACAGTCACCTTTTTGCAGCTCGCTAGCTTTAGAATCTGCATTTTTATTTAAAAAAATACCAAAACACCCATGAATCACTACAATATTAACTGTAGCTAAGGCTTTGGACTGCTCTGACAGAAATATAAAGCTCCAGAACCGTAGGCATTCCTTCCATTACAAAGGAATGCAATAGTCTTCCCAAACCACTCAAGGGGAGATTGTATCTTTCCAGATGTCAGAAATACAGGTAGGCTACATTTCAAACTTTGCCTCCCTGCAAGGCATACATTTCTGAAAAGGTTAGTGGATCATTCTGTCAGGGAGGAAAAAAAAGCTATATTAGGACAGCCACAATTTCTACTCTGTGCATGTTTAAGAAACAAACAGTTTGGGTACAGCATAAACTCACTTTCCACAAGAAGATTAGCTACAGATTTTATTCCCTTTCAGAAGGTAACAATACAGAGACCAAAAAACAGTTTAAGATGACCAAATAATTAATCCACACAAATTGATGAAGAAATGCTCCACTGAATGTATTTCAGATGACAAGTTAATGTCCAAATCCATGATACCTTAGGCTATAATTTCAGAACTCAAAGTCCAAGCAAGGTAGGGTTTGATAGGTACTTAGCTATCTTTGGGTGGGGTGGAGAGCATAAGGTTCTGCAGAAGCTGTTGGTTCAGTGTTGAGTCACTAGTTTCCCAGCTAGGCTGCTAAATGGCACTGAAATGCTACAAGTGCCATAACACTGAGGTCCTGACATCTTGCAGCTACAAGAAGTGCCAAAGGATCAGTTATAAACAGATGTTAACCACAGTGCCCTAACTAAACTCTAATTTGTGTTACTACATTCTGCATACCTAATATTCTTCTTGTTTCAATGTGAAGAACATATTCTTCACTTCCTGAACAGTTACAGGATGGTAACTAGTATTCTGCAGGTTGTTAAATGATTGCAATATTTCACTCGAGCAGAGCCTACATTTTAGTGAAAAAGTAAGTCATTTCAATGGTTTGTAAAGTCCTTTGTCATCCTTCAGTGTAAACGGCATTATCATAATTTAAGTTATAAACATTACTGTGTAATCATTGCTGAACCAAGGATTTCTAGAAGCTTGTTACACACATACCAAAGGCTTTCAACTGCTTTTTAAAATGATTTTATGCAATGTGTCTTTACTAATCTATTTTATTTACTAGCTGTCAGCTGTTTTCCAACAGAATTTTCCATTGGAAAATTTCCATTGACAAAAATTAAAACGCATTTCACAGGAATATGTCAATTTCATTGGCTCTTGGACTAGGCAGGTCTGCCTGTTTTTCTGCCAGCTTGGCTGCTATGCAGCTGGGAGAGCCTGGTAACTCAGGCTCTGAAAACCTCTAGTTTCCCTGATCTACAGCAGGAAGCACAGCAGCCCTTGAAGCCCCAGCGCAAACCATATGACTATCAGGGTTTCCAGGCTTCCAGCTTCTCAGTAGCCTGAGTTCTGGGCAGCTTAGTGAGCCTTGTCAATTTTGTTTGTATTGTGTATCCATTTCTCCTTTTAAGAGAAAAACCTCAAACGGCCATTTGGAATCTAAATGTTACTTATATTTTTGGACTAAAAGGAGTATTATGTCAATATATTCTAACCAAAGATACATTAAGATCAAATTAATTCACATTTATAAGCTAGTAAGCATAAGTCAGAACATTTTATCAGCTCTGCTGGTTAAGTGAACAGACTTCAAGGCATTATATTGCACCAAATCATCTCACTGGCTGATACAGATGCATACTGGAATAATTATGCATATCTAATGTCGGCTTCCTGAACTAATGACGTAAGACCTCTTTTTGTAGATGGGAATGGAAAGATGTGCATGCATATCGTGTTACCAAAGAGGGCATAGCACAAAAGATAGAGAAATAGTGTTCTCTAACAATTACATCCACTAACGGTGGAACACCTTGAAAATAATAGCAGACCATTGCACGCAACTCAGACCCAACTCCTTCTGAAGCTATCCAGAAGTTCACTTCCAATGTTGCAAAACAGTCTTCACACAATTGTGAGTGATTTAATTTTAGTTATTAACCAGATAAACTTTTAAAGAGCAAAAAGGAGGAATCCAAAGAAATCCAACTTACACCAGATTTTGGCTTACTGTTTGCCAAAATCTGGTGGGTAAAGGCCTAGTGCATGTGACTATTTAGAGAAAATGAGTTAAAATGCTGGCATTTTCCATTCTTTGCCAGTCACATCCAAAAATCCTCACTATGGGACCTCATCCTGAAGAGTAAACAAATTAACAGGAGGGAACACACACAGACAGAAAATATATTGTGTGTGTTTTATATATATATATATATACACACACACTAAAAAGCCACATAAGGAAAAGTTAATCATTTTTAATTCTGCTTTTTTGAGGAAATTATACAAGATTCCACTCTTGGGTCTCTCATCTTCATAGCATGACAGAGGTTGGAAATTCCCTGGCTTCTCAGACTTTAGGCCCTCTAAGGTTTAGTCATGAGGCTTGAGCACCTATATCTATAGCAACAAATGTGCTACTCTGATGGGAAAACTTCCAGGGAGTTGTACATAAGAATTAAAAAGCCTCTGACACTGATGGGAAAAATATCTGCTTTGAGTTTGTTTCTCTCTTAAATCTTTCCTACTGTGAAAATAAAGTAATAGTAACTGATGACATTTTGCATCATCTCAAGTGTTTTGCTTGAGTTTCTGAAACATACTCTTCTCATTCTCGTTTGGTGTACTCTTTTGGAGAAGTTAAAGCTAATGGATTTTTCATTTTTTGTATAGCTCCTTCATTGGGGGAGGTGGGGGGGGGGGGAAGAGGGGAAGGAAGCTGGTTTTCCCTTTACCTGGAGAAACAAATTCCTGGAAAGTTTTAAGAGCTGGAGAATTTGAAAGACTGATGAAGTTTCTTAGCCACCACAGCTTGTCCTTTTGACACATGTTGCTCTACGATAGACTCCGATCTGGCCAAGAGGACTCATGAAGAAAAAGTCCTAACAAGACATTTCTCCTTATTTCTAAAAAAAAAAAAGCTCTCTTATTACTGCTAGCAAAAACTCTCATCAAGAAGCTTGGATACAGATTTCCAGAAGTCATGGCTTGTCTTGCTCCCTTCCCCTCCCAATTTCCCACTTTTTCATGAACAAAACTGACGGGGGGGGGGGGGTGAGAGACGGGACGGGACACAGAACTGTGTTTTGCCTGGCAGTATATGGCTGGACTCTGGGAGGGTTTTTTGATCACTTATCAGGTTCACTGATTATTCTTCCCTTTGCCTCGTGAGGAATTGGTGGTGAATGACTCATGACCAAGGAGCTGTTGGGTGAAGCACAGGCTAAATATTACTACTGAAAGAATCCTGCTCATCTCCCTTCTGACAAAAAGGAACCATTAGTACCTCTGGGGTAACTGAGGCCTTAGCTATTGATAGTTTAAAGGAAAAATGCCAAGTGGGTGGAAATTAGTGAGCCCACATCCTACAGTAGGCTTCCAATCCCCACTGATTGCCTGAGTGAACCTAAGATACTCCTACGTCTGTGAAAGGACTGCTTCTGGGACTGGCTAGGAGAAATAGAAAGTGAAACAGTCTCCTTTGACATTTCTTCCTCTGCCAATGGAAAATAGCCGTAAATTTCCTGGTCCTCAATTTGCTTTTCTTTGTTGACATCTTACAGCTAAGAGAAAAGGACAGAGTCTTAAAGCTAAAAATAAGTGGCTGAAACAGTGGTCAAGGAAGAAAAAATGCAAGTAAGAAAAATCACTGGAAAGTCCAGGCAAAAGAGTGGCTGGGAATTTCCCAAATGCTCTGCAAAACAACATATCAGTAGCCTGCCATTTTGCTTCTTTTAGCAGCAAAGCTTTTTGCATAGCTCCTTATAGAAGCTTCTAAGTCACATAAAACAGATCTGGAACGTCTTCCCATCAAAAGAGGTGCACTATCCAATACTGAGGATGAGTGGATATGATTGTGATAGATAGAGTTACTTAAATATAGTGAAATATAACAAATACAGGATCAGTTAAGAACTTACCAAAAATTTTTTGCTTGGAACTGATGGCTCTCTATGCATGCAATAATGGTTTGCTGTCCATCAACTGTTTTACCATATACCTTAATTGCAAATGAAAGAGTAAAGTCATGCCAAGTTTTGAATGAATTCCTTAACCAAATTATAAGTACCCTGTGCAAGATAGATTTTTAAAAAGATATTTAGCTCTTGTATTGTACTATACTTCAGTGACATTACACTACAGAATTTTATTTTTATAACCACTTTCCATTATTTCTATGTATAAACAAAAGCAGTCAATAAATTAGCTTTAAACCATGCCTTGAGTGCTTGTATGATTTACAAAGGAGGAAAATTTAAGGGCTCAGTATTTGGAAAATCATTAGACCTGGTCAAACTAAAATTTAGATGCTGCAGTACATAAAACTTTCAGATTAGCAACAAACTAGATATGTCTCAGCAACTAGGGATTTTAACCATGTAACTATGAGTGGTCATATGAGCGAGTCTTCACGAACAGTGCAACAATGGCTGGGTTTCAGACTATTCGTCTAACTGGATATTTTAACTTTTAACTAGGGGAGAGGAAAACAGAGCAGTTAGACACCAAATGTACAACAGCAAGGTATATATTTGTTTCAGTATGTCTATGCCTCAGTATTTTGTCCACTGCAAACAATGGTACAAAAGAAAAAAAAGAAGATCTAAAAATCTAAGGAAATGGAATTGTAAAGCACATAGCATGACTGATATCAGAATCAAGTGCTAGTCTGATCCACAACGAAGAAAGGTTGTATTTTTATGACGCCACCATTACCCACTTTTGCTTTTAAATGCTGAGGATGGGGCAAAGTGCTTTCTCTCCTTTATCTTGCCATGCTATACCCAAAACTTTGTATTGTGTCTCCAAAGCAGCCCCAAAAAAGGCTATGAGTACACTTCATGTATCTTAAAGCAACACACCAAAGACCAGATTTATTCATACCAGTCTACAAGAGGCATTAAATATTAAACCTAAAACCTTATCCCCCCCCCAAAAAAAGTGTTAACTCCTCTTCACTTTGCTTACAGATTGATGACTGCAGCCATAGTAACTTGGCCTACCCCCAGCAGGTTTGTAGAAACTGCACTTCCAAACTGAATCTTTCCCTTATTGTTTGCAGTGGTGCTGTAGCCATGTTGGTCCCAGGATATGAGACAAAAGATGGGTGAGCTTGAAATCTTGTCTCTCTCACCAAACAGAAGTTGATCCAATAAAAGATATTACCTCACCCACGTTGTCTTTCTAAAATCTTCTATTGGACCAATTTCTGTTGGGGAGAGACAAGCTTTTGAGCTTACAAACCTTGTCTCTTTCCCTTATCTCTAACTCCACTCAGAGTTCACTTAGTTACAGTAAAACGTCAATCCCTGTTTACTCACCCCCATAATTATCTGTTTTCTTACCAACAACACATTCTCTAGAGAAGATATAGCAAATCAATGTTCATTAAAATTTATGGTACTTCAGAGTCTAGTTCCTTCATGTTTGGAACCTTACAGATGTAGAACTGATGAAGAGAAGGGACTGTTGCTGCAGAACTGCCTACATTTTATAGAGACTCACTGGTGCTGAAGAGTTCTCTCCCCGTTCCCCAACTCTGCAAGACTGCACATCCAAATTACATTTAGCTATGATTTCAAATTGGCCTTTTCTTCCAGTTGAGATTAAGAGTTTAATTGCAGGTGTAAATAAGAGTAAAAATAAGTCACCATGCAAAATTCAGACTAGATTTTAAATAGCTCCTCAAGGCAGAGACTTTGTCTTCATGAACAATGCTTAAAATGTTCTCAACAATTCAAGTAATAATGTTAATATGATTTAGAAAAACAAATATAATCAAATCAATAACATTATCAAACATTAGCCAGACAGGTATCTCCGCCGTCACAAGCAGAACAGGATTTGGGACTACTCTAAATTCTCACACATTTTGATCTTGGAGCAATACAAGAGATACCACTGAGTCTCAAGAGGCTAGTGAGTAGCTAATGCTGCACAATCAATACCCCCAGAAGTTTCAGGAGCATGTTGTTGGGGACAAGGAGAGAAAGAAAATATATGATCGTAGATGGTGCAGAGTGGTGAGTAATGAGAACACTAAAACCGAAGACATTCCCACCTGTCAATTTAAGGACATGTCTGTACTAGACTTTACTTTGTGTTTACATTGTCTTGTATTTCAGGTACCAATATTCTCCTGCAGACAAAAATATAAGCAGACAAGGGAGACTTCAATCCCCCATCATTTCATAGCTGTCTAGTACTTACTGTGCAGACACCACTGGGGTAGTGTTCTTTCACATAGGCTCTCATTGCAGTTTCTACTGAATTTCTCCAGGACTCAACCGCATTTTCAGCTTCATGTGGTCTAGGATCAGTAGCCTCCTTTCTTAAGTGATCAAATTTAAAAGCTATCTTGTTTTTTGGATCCAAAAATTTTCCATTGCCCAAATCACCGTGTTCTGTTATCAATACCTGCATTACAAAGTTGTAGTTGTAACCTACTTTTATTTTATTTAAAATATTTCTTTTTCACACAGAGTTTGGTCTTGACATCATTACACCATTCAGTACTGTGTAACCCCACCAAACAAAGGGAAAAGACTAAACTGTGCCAAGGTGAGGCTCATCCAAATCTCATGCTTTAAAAACATAAGATGTGAACTAAGTTCATGCACAGCAGCGGCAAAGAGGGGGGATGTAACAGATATTAAACAGCAGCAAACCTTGAGTTCTCATCTAGTTTACCCCACATTGTAGTAAATGCAGAATTCATACATTAAATGGAGGTCTTCCAGTGTCCATGAAATTAGTGCATAATAATATTTCAAATTCTATATTACATTAATCTAATTTTTAAAAGATAGGGGTTTTTTTTCGTTCATGATGTAACTATAGGGCAGAGTTAAGATTGTTTAGGTGACTTCACTCTGCATCTTACAGGATTAGAGACCATGTGTCCCCCACTGCTTATATTGTAGCTCTTTATGGTTTACATTATAAACAGGTTGTTAACTTGGAATATTACCCAATGCATATTTTTGCAAGAAAAGAAAGTTCTAATATCATAGCATGCTCCTTAAACTTTAAGAAACCTGTTATGACTTAATATTTCACTGTATCCATACCTGTTCATCATAACCTTCAATTTTCACTGGAGTAAACTGATCCAGATTGTACTGTGCAAATGCACTAAAAGAAAAAAAAATGCATATCAAGTTTACCACACCACCTGTTTTGCAATAAATTTCTATACTATAGCACAGTAAAGACATTTTACAGAATAGTGTACTAGTTTAGTATGCTGAAGTGCCCAGGATATATATGCTGACACAAAGCGGGCGTACACAAAAAAAAAGTGTGCAGAATCCAAGAAGTCTATTCCAAATGAGAATGAAAATTTCTGTCCTCTAAGGTGGAATCTATTTTTGAAGTAATTTTTAATATATAGTGTTGCTATATATACAGAAAGCTTTTAGCATAGAGGGCATGACTATTAACCATTCAAAAATCTTGACAGGGTTAACCAACAGTTTGGAGATATAGTGCTGCCTAACAGAAGGAGCACTGAGACTCAGGAGACCTAGGTTCTATTCAGCCACTTCCCTGCTAGGTGACCTTCGACAAGTCACTTTGCCACTATGTGCTTCAGTTTCCCCATCTGTAAAATAGGGATCACACTCATCTCCTTTCTAGAGCTTTGAGACCTATAGATGAAAAGTGCTAGAGAGAGCTAGGTATTATCAGAATGCAAGAGCTGAAACCTTTTGAGTAAAAATCTCCAAACTTATGGAGATAAGTATAAGTTCACTAGATGTGGTCCACGGCACGGGAAAATAAAGTAAGAGTCTACTTATCCCTCCCCCTCCACCATCACTCCCATTCCACCATCTTTGGGAACTTATATTTACGCATAATTTTTCATCCAAGAGTCCCAAATAGGCTCAAACTTACAATTTACTTTGTAGTGATAACTTTGCCAACCACTTCAACACTATACAACTTTTTATGACAAGAAGTGAAGAATACCTCTAACTGAAACTGGAAGGGGATTTGTAGATAAGCATGATGTAAGTTACCCAAATAAATATATATAAACACCCCTACAAAAAAGTGCTCTGGAATCGTTAGTGAACACAAGATACAGGACTGCTTACGCTTTATCCAAAGAGACAGCACTTATAGGAGCACTGCTCTCTTTAGAAAACTGCTCCAATGTGGTTTCTATATTCAAAGGGCTGATTCAGTATTGACAGAGCACAGATGACAGAGCCATCAACACTACTTCTGTAACGCCCGAGTTTCCCTTGGACATCTCCAATACAACTATTGACCAACGCTAACTATTTAGTTTATTAGCTCTGATGAACACACAGACAGAGTTACAAGTGCAGAAATTAACAAGTCAGATCACTGTGATCACTTGTTGGTAACAAAACTTTAATAGAATGTGAAAGACTGAAAGTGTTTAGATGCTAAGCGTAGTATGTGATACTTACTGGGCTGCTCCTTCCCTAAGAAGATTATCATTATTAAGCAGCAGCCGAACATCTGAAAGAAAATATTTAAGTCTTAAAACTATTTTCAAGATGTTAGAAGAATACTTATTTTAATTAGCCCACAAAATAATTTTAATGTACATAGTATTAAATGTAACTTATTCCCCAAGAAAATGGGGGGGTGGGTGGGTGGAAAGGGTGGAAGTAGATAGCAAACCTGTTAAATAATAGATACTTCACCATCATGACTGCACAGTAATTGGATGCAAGACAGATGACTAAAATGGATTCTCCCAGCAAGTAGGTAAGCAGATATAAGTAGGGCCCTACCAAATTCACGGCCACAAAAAAAGCATCATGGACCATGAAATCTGGCCTCCCCTGGTGAAATCTGGTCTTGTGTGTGCTTTTACCCTATATTATATAGATTTCACGGGGGAGACCAGCATTTCTCAAATTGGGGGTCCTGACCAAAAAGGGAGTTTCAGGAGGGTCACAAGGTTATCTTGTAGGTTGCGGGGGGGCGGGGTGTCACGGTATTGCCACCCTTACTTCTGCACTGCCTTTACAGCTCGGTGGCCGGAGAGCAGCGGCTGCTGCTGGCTGGGTGCCCAGCTCTGCAGGCAGTAGCGCAGAAGTAAGGTTGGCAATACCATGGCATGCCATCCTTACTTCTGTGCTGCTGGCAGTGGTTCTGCCTTCAGAGCTGGGCTCCTGGCCAGCAGCCACTGCTTTCCAGCTGCCCAGCTCTGAAGGCAGCACCGCCACCAGCAGCAGCACAGAAGTAAGGATATGGCAACCCCTGCTACAATAACCTTGAAACTCCTCCACAACTCCTTTTTTGGGTCAGGACCCCTACAATTACAACACCATGAAATTTCAGATTTAAAGAGCTGAAATTATTAAATTTATGATTTTTAAAATCCTGTGAACGTGAAATTGACCAAAATAGACCATGAATTTGGTAGACCCCCTAGATATAAGCCATACTATACAAGAGGCATGATCAACAATCTAGGAAACTGTGCTGGATTAGCCACAAGAGCAGTGTAATGGCTCCACTTGTCTACAGACAAGTGTTCAAGATTACTAAAGATCGTACAGCAGCCTAACCATAGACTCTAAGTACAGTTTTTGACAGTGGTGATTAGTGTTGTATACATAGTTAATTTTAATTTATTGTATTTTCCCTGCCCCTGTTCCAAACTCCTAGACGACTTTGCTAACCTGAACATATATTTCAATCCAGATTTCAAATCCGCAGGTGGATCAGAAACTGAATTGCAAGTAACTTCTTACATTCTTAAATATTAAGAATTATTTTCAGACACAGAAAATCTACACTCCTATGCCAGTAAAATCCTAACCTGATAAATCACCACTTTGTGGATGCTTTCATGTGAAATACCTATATGCAAAGTTAATCACAATACTGTTCAGTACAGAATACATTAAAATGTAAAAGGCTGGTTATAGGGTTAAAATTGAAAATAAAACCTAATATACGCTCCCACCTGCAAATCTGAAATTCAGATTTTCATTTAAAAGAACAATTTAAAATATTTCCTCATCTGAATGACTAATGTTACTATTATGCCACCGAACCCTTAATATTCTTTCCTCTCACCCAAATATTTATAAGGACCAAAATGATCAGATTATCAGAAACTGATACCTAGAATAGGAGATGGAATCTTTGTGTACTTAAATTACCAAATTTATTTAACAGACTTTGGAATTAGTTTTTCCACTGTACATTAAAACTTTGGTTGGTGTATAGTGTCTGAAGGAGAGCCCTCTCAACCATGGCTCAAAGCAGGGTTTTTCTATAAACATTCGCAAATTCATGAGGCTTGTGGGAAGGAGAAGGTAAAATATGGGAGATTTATCCACATGGAAAACCCCAAGTTTTATACCTAAAAAGTAAGTTTAACTTTTTAAATGACAACAGGGGGCTGCTTGTTCCTGTCTCCTGTTCCTTTCATTACTCTTCTGTGTCTCCATCTTTATGTACCATCTTGGTTACATCCACACCTCCCACCTATACCATCATGTATAACTGTCCTTTCAATGCCGGCCTTCTACCCTCCTCTGTGCCGTACCCTCAATATCATACTCTCCCAGATCTTGCCCTCTTCCATACCCCCACACACCTCCCAATACACCTGCCGCCACACACTCCCTTTTAGGCTGTTCCCTTATGTACTCCCCTGCCTCCTTCCTCTATATCCCCAACATCTCCTGTACTCTATCACCATACCTTGGGCACTCATGCCTCAGAGCCATCTCATTCCGAAATAGAAAAATACAGCTCAATATCACTCCTCCATGTTCCCCACCCCCACCCATTTCACCTTCCCCCCAACCCTAAAACTATTGATTCATTACATTTCCCTTTGATCTCACAGCCTCCCACTCCATACCTTCCCCCCTGCAGCTTATCCCCACAACAACAGTATTAATGAATTGTAAAAAAATATCAGCACAAGGTCAGTTTAACATTTATTCATAAACATTTTCACTTTAAACACTGCATTTTATATACTTAAAAAACTCAACCAGCTCTTAAAACCTCCCCCCACCTGCCTCCAACTAACCACACCCAATATACAACAAGGTATTTTTCAGCAAGGTCAAAAAAACCTGGAGTGTCTAGCCTCGGAATATATCAAAGCATGAGCAGTTAACTGAAGTATCCTTCTTTTCATCAGATCAAACACTATTAGCAGTTGTCAGTATTGCAGAATTGGCAATGGTGGCAAAGCAAGGTCTCATCCCCACAAAGCAGCGACTGAAGATAAACAGCATGAAATGGCAGAGAAGGGTGAAAAAACAAAAACAATGAACACCTAATCTCTGATAGCTTATTTAAAGTTATTAAACACACACACACACACTCTCTATCTGAAATGCATTAACAAGTTAGATCCAGAGCAGGGAAGCACAAAGATACTCACCATTGAACACCTCATTAAATTCCCCAGGAGGAGCATGAATGATGAACTTCGCTGCTATGTGCACCTTAGATAAAATAAAAAGTATATTCTTATATAACTCTACAGCAAAGGAAATAAAAATATGTAAATATCAAAACTTCCAAAACTCAGTGTCCATCCATGCAAAACAAAACAGTTCTACTTTGTATGGTTTTAACGTCTAAAATATGAAGTCCTCCAAATCCCACTATTCAATACAATCCACATTCCCAAAACTATTTTTGTCTCTGAATATACCAGGAACAGGGACAAGGAGTTGTTTCTAAGCATAGGGGACAACATGGATGGAGGCTATCATATGCAACACAGAGGAGGAGAGAAGGGATACAATAAGTAACAAGACCCAAGTTGTAGAGCTTGCAATTCATAATATAATTTGCAATCACTATAATGTCCCTTTGTAATGCCAAGGCAGGGGAAATAGCTCTCTCTCTAATAGAATCAGGCCTCTACACTGGAAGCCGTCTATGGAAAGTGCCGTCTTTTGTCTGTACAAAACCTAACAGAGAGGGGTATTTGTTCCATTTTATAGTATTAAACTGAAGTGGAAGTTTTGTACTTGTTTCTTTAATTACCAGAATTTCAGATTTTTTTTTCTAGGAAGAAACTTCACACTTAAAGCTCATCTATGCCAAAACAGACAAAACCAAGACCTCATTAACATCATTACTGTAAGACCACCAGAAACTCAAACAGAAAATTGCGCCTGTGCTATGTGCGCTATAGAGTACTGCTTTCCAATATACTGAATTTTCACAAATCAAGAAAGCTGAAATGCTTCAGACTATATTCCATCAGGGTTTGCAGTTTCAAGTCAATAGGCCTGATCCTTGCAGGTCACTTAAATGTTTTTTTTTGAAGATCCCATCTAAACACAAGCTTAGGAGCTTACAGCTGTGTCTACACCACAGACTTCTACCAGTTATTGACAGCTGTATAAGAGGTATGATCTAGAGCAGCAGTTCTCAAACTGTGGGTCAGGACCCCAAAGTGGGTCGCAAGTTCATTTTAATGGGGTTGCCAGGGCTGGCATTAGACTTGCTGGGGCCCAGGGCAGAAAGCCAAAGTCCAAGTCTTGCCATGAGGGGCTGAAGCCGAAGCTTGTGTTCCCACGGGGCTTGGGCTTCAGTCCCACACTTTGGGCTTGAGCTTTTTGCCCTGGGCCCCAGTGAGTCTAATGCCAGCCTTGCCAAAGCCTACGCCCCACTACATGGGGCTAAAGCCCAAGCCTGAGCAGCTTAGCAGTTCATGGAGCCCCCTGTGGCATAGGGTCATGTAGTAATTTTTGTTGTTAGAGGAGGATGGGGAGTGGGGTAACAGTGCAGTGAAGTTTGAGAACCACTGATATAGAGCCCTGCAGTGGGACTGGGATCCTGCTCCCATAGTAGCAAAAAAATGTACTTTGTTGCAGGTGGGATTGGGTTGGCAAAAAACCAACCAAACAAACAAAAAAACCAAAAAACAGACTGCAGTAATTTGTGGGAAAACATTAAATCTCTCACCAATTTGTCAATAATAGAATTTCAGCAATGTACAGCAAATTTTCCTTTGTTTTTTAAAGGTTTTAATACAAAGGTTTTAATACTTAAATTGAAGCAAGGGTAGAAAGAGATTTGATGTCTACTATAACATAAGTTAAAGTATTTTTTTTTACATGGTTTACGCAAGATTTGTTTTATTCTTTTAGTGGTAAAAATTGTCTGAATTCTGTTTATATATTTTATATAACATATATTAACTGACTGTTTGGGTTTTTAGTAGTATGGGGAAAATCTGTCTCTTGTGGAATCTAAAGTTTTTTGCAGGTGGGAGCACGATAAAAATGCAAGAAACAATGTAGGAGCGGGTGGTAGTGAGTCTTGTGGGACAGGAGAGGGATTAAAAAAAAGTCCTGCACAGGACTCTAGTGTGATTCCTGACACAGCTATGAGAGCAGAAGCCCCTCGTATATGTGCACTTATACTGGCATATCTGTTATGTTTGTGTCGGTGGTTTTATTGCACTGGTATAAAGCACAGTTTTGCCAGTATAGTATACTAATATTCTTTCATCAGTAAAGCACTTCTAGTTTCAATATAACCAAGCTCCTATTTTTCAAAAATTTGGGTTGTATAGATGTGAAAAAATGTCACAATAACTTAGTTCACTGAAAGTGTAAGCTTGTTAATACTGAAGCAATTTTGTTTTGATATGATGAGTTGATTCTACTAAGAGCATTTATTTAAAAATAAAAATAGTGTTGGCTCCTGATGCTGCAAAGCACATGAGTCCGATTTACATCAATGGAACTATTCAAAATTACAAACCTGCTTAAAGGGTCTAATCCTGCAACCACTTTTTAGGCCACTTCACCCCAATCTGTACTCATACTGCAATTTCTTAGTTTTTAAAGATATGACAGTCTTCATACAAAACAAAGCTGACATCGAGTGGCTCAACTGATGACTTATGCTGTTTTAGCCATTTTATTAAGAGCAGCTGCACTAATTCAATCCCTGTCTCCAATCCACTAATCCAGGACAAGGCCAACTCTTCAAGGATCTGACATTCTCTCTCACTTGTGTCCAGGATTAATCTCTCACAAACAATGGTATGAAATATAACATACAGATTGCCAATCCTTGAAAAAGCTGAGTTGTTTCATAGCATTAAAGAAAACACTGATTTATTCAAAAGCCTAGTGAAAGCTTGAGTTTATGTTTACCTGGAAGTGGCTTTTTAGAATAACTTAATGCTTTGTACTATTTTAAGCCTAAAGTTAGCAAGATGTATGCTATAACATGGATAATACTTTCTAATTTCAATTCTTCATTACCAGAATAATGGATTCTATAGTTTGTCAGAGGTCAATAAACAGGTACATTACTGAAAAGAACTAGGTTTTATCATTACTAAAGAGAAATTTTCAGTACTAATTATACCTTCTTCCCAGAATTGAATGGTCCTTTTTATTCTTTCCAGGACAGATGGTGCTCCCTTATTTGGTGCAAGGGTTTTACTGAGGAATACTGACTAGTTTTCTAGTATCAAATTTTTTGTTTTGTTTTGTGGAGTACAGAAAGTCTTAGAAAAAGTCTGAAAATAGGCTATCAAACCTTCCATAACAGCCACCCATTCAAGAACAGAATAATTTTATAAACAGGTATTTAAGAAAAATATACCAAATCATTAACTTATGGTAATATCTTAGAAAACTAAGTATTTACTAAGCATAAAAATTTCCAACAGATAGGGAGTTTTTGTTTGTTTAAAATAAATTCTTATTTTGGCATCTTCAGTCCATGTTCACTGACTGAAGTCAACTGGGACTTTGCTATTGATTTTACATTGAAAGCATTCAGATTAACAGGCTGATGGTACTGGTACTAAAAAAATTCATGATAGATATCAAGGACCTGCCATTTTAATGATTTTCCTAGCACAGATCCCACTGGAAGATGTAAATTAGAACAGGAAGAGAGTAAGTATAGTCATTTAAACACATTTTGAATGACTTTACCAAAAAAGTCTAAAGGAAAGGATACAAATACACTAAGAGGCACAACTAATTATGCTTTGCTTTGATTCTTTTCTATTTGTACAATGCAAATCAGTATAAATTACAAAGTCAAATGTTGGCTTTTTACAGCTTAGTTGGAGTTAAATATTTATGTTTATACAAAATTATGTTTGATTATTCTAAACAATGTAAAATAAAGTTTAAAGACACCATTTAAAATTAAAAAGGAGGACTTGTGGCACCTTAGAGACTAACAAATTGATTTGAGCATAAGCTTCCGTGAGCTACAGCTGACTTCATCGGATGCATGCAGTGGAAAATACAGTAGGGGGATTTTATATCCGATTAAGTGAGCTGTAGCTCACAAAAGCTTATGCTCAAATCAATTTGTTAGTCTCTAAGGTGCCACAAGTACTCCTTTTCTTTTTGCAGATACAGACTAACACGGCTGCTACTCTGAAACCTGTCATTTAAAATTAGTTTCACATTTACAGTAGAAGTTCTATAATTCAGAAGAGATTGGATATTTAACAGTTTAACAAGAAAAGACTGGTTAAGAGTTGGCTCAGAATTTCTTAAATTTATTACAAATACTTTTAGAAGAGTGAAAAACTCAGAACAAACGCACAGTTTAAAAGAAAACTTGCAACTCAAACTCTGATTTAATTGTTTCAAAAGGAAAACATTTTTCAGTCCCACTTTGCATAAAATTGTCTAGATAGCAAATTCGTATTTTTTAGAATTTTTTTAAAATTCTGTAATTAAAGTTAAGAAATTTAAGATTACACGTGTGTCTTCATTTTTAAAAACATCTCATGTTTAAAAACTCAGAATTCTTTGGCTTTTGAGACAATCATACAGTTTATATGTGAATTAATGTTATACAAAAGTTAGGCAAAATTATGGTAATAAGAAACAACAATCACCATATAAATTCACAGAAGAAAGTTGTTTATCAGAAACAGATCTTGCAGGTTTTGCCAGAAGTGTATTTTTAACCACACAATAATGCTTTTAAGTTAAGTCAAACAAGCTAACCTAAATATACTTTGCGAAACATTGTATCTCCACCACCACCCCCATGGCTTGCTCCCCCATTCCCTGGGGCTCACCTGCCACCTGCACAGCCAGGCTGGGAGGAGCTGACATGGAGCCTGCCCAATCAGGGCACAGTGGGGCATGGCAGGGGTCAGTCCCCGGAGAGAGGTGCTGGTTAGGGAAAATCGGGACACAGCGGGGTGGGGTCCGTCCCTGGAGCAAGAGGTTGGGGTGGGAAAATCAGGGCACAGCGAGGTGTGTGGGGGGATCTGTTCCCGGAGCAAAGGGCTGGAATGGGGAAATCGGGGCACAGCAAGATTGGGGGGGGTGTCCATCCCCGGAGTGAGGGGCCAGGGAAATCAGGACACAGCAGGACTGGGGGGGACGGGACAGAAATGTTAACACCCCCCCCCCCCCCGGATGGCACCAGTACCTGCTTTGCAGCCCAGTCCAGTAGCCAGCCAGTTCTCTCTGGCAGGCTTGGGGGT